CCCCCCCCCCCGGGCGTGCGTGATTGGATTTAACAAGCTAAGGCAACTATAATATTTTATAATCATGACGTTCAGGTAACTTGTACTTAATAAATTTCACGAATTATTTATTATTTTCCATTAACATAAATATCGAATAATTTTATTCATTATAGCCTGAACACATATGAAGAAATCATGATATATCACACTTCCAATCGATGTATTCGAAAGTCTATGGGCTAGTAGATGACAAAAGTATTTAGAACATCATCTCATCTTATGCTAGCAGCCTTATTGCGATGTGACAACAACAACAACCCAGTATAATCCCACTTAGTGGGGTCTGGGGAGGGTAGTGTGTACGCAGACCTTATCCCTACCCTAGGGTAGAGAGACTGTTTCCAACCCAGTATAATCCCACTTAGTGGGGTCTGGGGAGGGTAGTGTGGCAGACCTTACCCCTACCCTAGGGTAGAGAGACTGTTTTCAAAAAGACCACCGGCATCTTTCCCTCCAAGAACATCCCACCTTGCTCTTGGGAAGACTCAAACTCACAACCTCTCGATTGGAAGTGAGGATTGCTTACCATCAGAGCAACCTCTCTTGTTGCGATGTGAGTATACTCATTATTCGACTCTCACCAACCTTGGACAAAAGGACCCTCAATTACTATAAATTTGTACGTGACTTACACACTTTGAAAAAATCTGTGAATCAAACTATTAAAATTGTAGTTTAATTGGAGGTTTACGTAAAATATAATAAAACATACCTTTTAAAATAACATTTTATTTAAGGAGTGGAAAAGCTAAGAACGCATAGAGGGTTTCAGAAACATAATAGAATATCACAGGATTTAAACATAAGACCTAAAGTAACTTTTAAACCTCCTTTGTCACATTTAGTATAGTTTTTCCTTCTTTCATGAGAATTCAACAAGTTAGATATTTGCACAATTAAAATTATCAACAAAAGAGATTTAATTAAACCCTTATTTTAGTCGCAATCATAATTATTATTAGTATTTGACTCTCACCTATCTCTGAAAAAAAAAAAAAAAAAAAAAAAAAAAAAAAGCCATCACCCAAATACGAAATTGACAAGATTTTCCTGTTATTAATACTTTGCTCAAACATGTCCATGCCCTTTATATGGGATCATTTAAAATAAGAGCATATTGGACGGTAGAGGCGTATTTGTGCCAAAGTATTAATGAGGGGCAAATTTGTCCAATTTTATATAGTTCAAGGGCAATATTTGGACATTTTCCATTTAAATAATTGAAAGAGGTTTTTGGAACGTGATATTCACGCACCGCAAACAATCGTGAAGCAAACCGACAGATAACACAAATAGATGTTCCCAACAACAACAGTAACAGCACATTCTTTAAACCAGAGAAGGAAAAGCTGCCATTTGAAACACACCTTTAATCTTCACACAGTTGTGGAAAATGGCGGTAGCATCAACTTCTTCTTTAGCTTCTCAACTCTCTGGCCCCAAATCCTCCTATTCATGTCCTCACTTCTCTGGCCTCCGACCTTCTTCTTTGAACTCAATTTCCTTTTCCACTACTCAATCCTTTTCCCAAAATGTTGATTCTCACCTTCGCCTTTCTTCGTCTCAGAAAGGTTGCAGAGCTGTCGTCACTATGGCCGGCTCCGGCAAGGTAAAACCGCTTAATTAAGTTTAATTAAGTTTTTAGATGAGATGTTTCACACATATCTAATACGTTGTGTCTGTATATCTCCATTGCGTAGTACATTTTTAAAATTTGATTTTGATTTGTTCAGTTGGTGAATGTTTTTTCTGACTTTTGCTTTTACTGAAATTGGGGAAAGATAATAAAAAGGCTGCTTTTTTGTAGTAAATTGAATCAATATTATTACTATTAAAAAAACAGCAAATCATAAGTATGTGAAGCTGTAATTTGGAGGTACCTTTTTTTAACATTGTTAAGCATGGATTGAATATCAATCTAACTAGGCATCAATCTCAAACTAGTTGAGGTTGGCTTATGCATAGATTGGATAGTGCTTAAAAATTAATTTCTGTGACAAACAGTAACTAGAGTGTGGGAAAAGTTATACTCCAATTATTAGAAGTAGTAAAAATCTTAAGTGTCATGCGTAAATGAAATGTTTTGTTTCCTTGGAGATATAGAAGTGAAACGAGAGAATTTCTTTACAGAACGCATATTGTTGAAAAAGATTAGAACTTTATGCCCCAACCATGGCCTATCAGTTATTGTAGCAACTCAACTTGACCAGTCTCTCACCGCTAACCACATCCTACCTGATATAACCAAGCAAACTTACAAGATTGCTTGTTTCTGCTCAACTAGGGAAATATTTGAACTATTCCTTCATAACAGGAGCTCACTTTGTTATTCAATCAGAACAGAAGTTGAAAACTGAAGAGAAAATAGAGGGGACAACAAAAAGTTAAGAATTGGTTTTGTTAAAGAGCAAATGTAAAATCTGAAACTTTGAAAAAGAGGAAAAGTGAAAGTACTTGCAACTCGTATCAGTACAATGGTCTTTCCTAAATAGTAGCTTCCTCTACCCTTCTATAACACATTTAAATGTTTGAAGTATTGCCCTTAACCTATTGGATGTCTGATCTTAGCTTTCTTATTGCTTGCAGTTCTTTGTTGGTGGCAACTGGAAATGTGTAAGTATCACATATTACTTGCTCTTCTCGCATTATTTAATCGAAACCACTCCTTGCATTCTTTATGACTGGTGGCATTTATTTCCCACGTGCTTCATCTTCATTATGTTCATCCATGTTCTCCCAGAATGGAACAAAGGACTCCATAAGCAAGCTTATCTCTGATCTGAACAGTGCAAAGCTCGAGTCTGATGTTGGTGAGTTTTTCCATGTTGTTCGCATCCCATACCATCTATGTATATGTTTATATCAACATTTCTGTGAAGCTGTCCTGATGGCTTTCTACCCTATTAAGATTTTGATTACGGAGTAACATTTGTAAGCTTGTAATAATTGCCACAATGACCCTCCTTTGCTGACTTGTACTTTTCTCCCTTAGTTTACCATGGTTTGTTGTGCATATCCCTTTCTTGTTCTGTTCAAGATGATATCTTGTTTTTTGTCAAGACCACTCGAGTAACACCGTGCCCTTTTTTTATTTTTTGCTTGTATTTGCAATCTGAATAATTCTTTTCATAGACTTGGTGGGTTTACTGTAAACGTGATTAGTGCGGTTTGAACCAGGAGGTCAAGAAGCAATTTTGGGATGATTTGGACGAGATGGTGCGTAGTATCCCACACACAGAGAAGTTGTTCATTGGCGGAGATTTCAATGGTCATATTGGGGCTAGTTCTAGGGGTTATGATGATGTGCATGGCGGGTACGGTTTTGGGGATAGGAATGAGAGAGGTAATTCACTGTTGGAGTTTGCTAGAGCTTTTGATTTGGTTATAGCTAACTCGAGTTTCCCGAAGAGGGAAGAGCACCTGGTCACTTTCCGAAATTCAATGAGCAAGACACAAATTGATTATCTTCTCTGCAGGAAATGCGATAAAGGTCTCTGCACTGACTGCAAGGTCATCCCGAGTGAGCACCTCATGACTCTACATAGGCTCCTAGTTATGGACCTGGAGATCAAGAGGAGTAGGAGGAAGAGGGCGGGGTGCAGGCTACCTAAGATCAAGTGGGGTAACTTGATCAAGGACAAAGCTCAGGAGTTAGGGGAGAAGTTGTTGGCTATGAGGGCCTGGATGAGTATGGGGGACGCGTCTAGTATGTGGTCCAAGACTGCGGATTGCATTAGGGTAGCTGCTGGAGAGGTCTTAGGGGTTACGAAGGGTTCTCCTAGGAGTCATAAAGGGACTGGTGGTGGAATGGAGAGGTTCAAGGTAAAGTGGAAGCTAAGAAAGCTACTTATTTGAAGCTAGTAGAGAGTACAAACGAGGAGGGAAAAAAGGACTTAGTGTCAAACGGGCCGGGTGGGCTAGGTTACTGGGGTTAGGGGGGTTGGTCCGTTCACTTTAATTCATCTGGTTAACCGGATCGGTCAAACCCGGTCAACCAAAATTCCTGTAGAACTATTAATCAGCCCGGTTTAACGGATAGATTCCATTTTTTATTTTATTTTTTATAAAGGTTTTAGAGTCTAAGGCAATGCAAAACCTTTGAATTTGCTCTTTTTTCGTTAATTTACTTGTTGAATGTAAACCTTTCAATTTGTAAGTTTGAATTTTGAAATAAATGTAGCACTTGCAATTTATAAGTGCAATTTTTTCCCATCTTTATTGTATTCTTTATATTTTTACTTTATATTAATATAACTTACAATAATTATACAAAATACAAAAAAAAAAAAAATTACACTAACCCGGCCCAGCCCGGCCCCTTGTACCTGTAACCCTTATGGTTCATTTTTTACCTGGATGAACCCGAACCCGTTAAGTCTGATAACCCCTAACCCGTAACCGGCCCGGTTCGAAACCCGGACGGTTTCAACTTTTCCCTACCCAGCCCGGCCTGGCCCACCCGTTTAACACCCTTAGTGTTACATAAAGGCAAAGAAAAAGGCAGAGTTAGCAGTTACGACGGCTGCANAGCTAGTAGAGAGTACAAACGAGGAGGAAAAAATGACTTATCGGGAGTGTTATAGAAAGGCAAAGAAAGAGGCGAAGTTAGTAGTTACGACAGCTAAGAACGCGACATTTGCTCGTTTGTACGAGGAGCTCGAGGGCAAAGGCGGGAACAAGAGGTTGTACCGGTTGACCAAGGCGAGGGAGAGGAAAGCCCACGACTTAGACCAAGTCAAGTGCATCAAGGACGAGGATGGAAAAGTGTTGATGGACGAGGCACTCATTAGGAGAAGATGGCAGACATACTTCCATAAACTGTTGAATGAGGAGGGGGATAGACGCATTGTTCTGGGTGAGTTGGAGCACTCCGAGAGTCGGCGGGATTTTTGGTACTGTAGGCGGATTACGGTAGAGGAGGTGGAAGGGGCGATGCGTAAGATGTACAGGGGTAGAGCAACGGGGCCAGACGAAATCCTGGTGGAATTCTGGAAGAGCGCGGGGCAGGCAGGTTTGGAGTGGTTGTTTAATGTTATTTTTAAGACAAGAAGATGCCTGGAGAATGGAGGTGGAGTACGATGGTTCCGCTTTACAACAACAAGGGTGATTTCCAAAATTGCAATAATTATAAGGGTATCAAGTTATTGAGTCACACTATGAAGGTTTGGGAGAGGGTGGTAGAGGCCAGGGTGAGGAGGTGCGTGTCTATTTCCGAGAATCAGTTTGGATTCATGCCAGGGCGTTCGACTACGGAAGCGATTCATATGGTAAGGAGATTAGTGGAGCAGTACAGGGAGAGGAAGAAGGATTTGCATATGATGTTTATTGACCTTGAGAAGGCATACGATAAAGTTCCGAGGGAGGTCCTGTGGAGGTGTTTGGAGGTTAGCGGCGTTCCGGTAGCGTACATTAGGGTGATTAAGGATATGTATGATGACGCTAAGACTCAGGTGAGGGTTGTGGGTGGTGACTCGGACCATTTCTCTGTGGTGATGGGGTTGCACCAGGGATCGGCTCTTAGCCCATTTTTGTTTGCCTTGGCGATGGATGTACGGTCGCGTCACATCCAAGGGGAGGTGCCTTGGTGCATGCTATTTGCCAATGATATGGTGTTTATTGACGAGATGCATAGCGGAGTTAACGCGGCGTTGGAGGTTTGGAGACAAACCTTGGAGTCTAAAGGTTTCAAACTGAGTAGAACCAAGACAGAATACTTGGAGTGCAAATTCAGTGAGACCCATGATGCAGACGTAGAGGTTAAGCTTGATGCTCAAGTTATCCCCAAGAGAGCGAGTTTTAAGTATCTCGGGTCTATTATCTAGGGTAACAGAGAGATTGACGAAGATGTCACACATTGCATCGGAGCGGGTGGATGAAGTGGAGGCTCGCTTCCGGTGTTCTATGTGACAGGAATATGCCGTTAAGGCTTAAGGGTAAGTTTTATCGAGTGGTGGTTCGACCCGCTATGCTGTATGGGGCTGAGTGTTGGCCAGTCAAGAACTCCCACATGCAGAAGATGAGAGTAGCAGAGATGAGGATATTGAGATGGATGTGTGGGTGTACCAAGCGAGATAGGATTAAGAATGAAACTATCCGGGACCGAGTTGGAGTAGCCTCTGTGGAGGACAAGATGCGAGAGTCGCAGCTGAGATGGTTTGGACATGTTAGGAGAAGAAGTATTGATGCCCCTGTCAGGAGGTGGGAGATATTGGCCATGGAGAGTTTGAGAAGGGGTCGAGGTAGGCCTAAGAAGTACTGGGGAGAAGTGATTAGGCAGGACATGACACTGCTTCAGCTCACTGAGGACATGACACTTGATAGGAGGGTGTGGAGGTCGAGGATTAAGGTAGAAAGTTAGTAGGTAGTTTATAGTGTTCACCGATAGGCTTAGTAGCATGCATGTCCCTTCATATTCTTAGATTTTTATTACGTTATGTGGTTTTGGTCGCCTCGGGTATTGTATTCCCTGTTGCTATTATTTGATACTATTTATCCTTTATCTGTCCCTTTTTTTTCTCTTCCATCTTTCTTCTTTCCTTGCTTCCCTCTTCTTCTTCTTGCCCTTCCTAAGCCGAGGGTCTATTGGAAACAACCTCTCTACCTGCATTGGGTAGGGGTAAGGTCTGCGTACAGACTACCCTCCCCACCCCAGACCCCACATATTGGGATCAAACTGGGTTTGTTGTTGTTGTTGTAGAAGGTTTGGGGGGGTGGGGGCAATTATAAACAGTGAAGATCTGCAATCAGAGTGTTCATGCACTGCCTTATCCACATGTCCTATTGACACTCGACCCTTTACAAACCTAGAACAGTAAAAAATCTTGTAAAACAAGTCCTCTTAAATGTTCTGGCTGTAGCATTTAGAAGGAACCCATGTTAATTAGCTTGCTCAAAGAATGTTAAAGTAAGGCATGAGAAGGACGCCAAAAAAAAATGATGCTTATGTTAAGGTATTTCTTCTTCTAGTTATTCTTTGCAGTTCTGCTGCATTTTATATAAGTCAGTTTCCTCACCCCTACTCTCAGTCTATTTGTTTCTTCTTGCTTCGCTTCCCCTTTCGACTACATAGTACCGAAAGAAAATAGATGTAGTACCAATCTATGTAATTGGATTGTCCATGGTCCTGAGTTTCATGGACCTTGGTGCAGATAGCCCAGTCCTTTCAAAGTATCCAAGCTTATGGTTGCTGCATTGTAATATCAAACCCACACATAGAGAAGACACTTTTTGCCACCTATGATGTTGCGTTTCATCTTCTTCGGTCAATTTATCGGCAATGCTGAAAATGTTATTGATTTTGTAGCGTTTGGATAGTTATTTTATCTTCTGAATCAGTTGCTAACACAAAAGAATCTGTCTTTTGGAAAATTTGCAGATGTGGTTGTAGCACCTCCTTTTCTGTACATTGATCAAGTAAAGAGTTCACTAACTGATAGGATCGAGATTTCTGCTCAGAATTGTTGGACTGGCAAAGGTGGAGCTTTCACTGGTGAAATCAGGTTAAGCTCCATTATAAGTTTAAGTCTAAATCAGTAAATGCATCAGCATTGCTTTGCTCTTCAGTGTATAATGGTTTCTGTTAAGTCTTAAATTGGTCTCGAATATTAACTTGTAGCATTTCCAAATTTCTGAAAAGCCAAACCAAGATTTCTTAGGGAAATAATTTCGCCTTGAGAGATTCTCTCAACCGGGCTTTTAATTAACAAAAAGGTAGCCCAATGACAATTTCCCCAGTAGAGGAGTGACGAGATGGCTAATGAATCCACAAGTTTATTTTCGTTAACCTGATACCCAGCTTAGTTCTAATTGGTTTGGTTCCTTCCAAGGTGCATCTAACATCTATTTCTTCTATGTTTGAATAAGCAAGTCTTTACTAGATTTTGACCAGCATTTGAGCCTGGATTACTCGGCAGTTCTGACGGAAGTCTCTCTATGTATTCTCCCTATGGTTATGTTTGTCTTGAGACTTGACTGTAGGATTTTGGAGTTCTTACTGTGTCGGATTTCTGGTCGATATAACTTTATTGTATTCCATGCAGTGTGTTGTATAGTCATCAAACTATGACCTTTGAACTTAAGTTATATACCGTTGAACTTAACTTGTTCCCCCCTCCCCTCAAACCCCACCCAGAAAACAAGATGTGTTTCCTTAGGTAATGGCTGGCAGGGGCATTCTTCATTATTCATATTTATGACTTCAAAATATGTAACAGATCAAGCTTGGGGCCAATTGTTATCCTTTTAATTTAACTCCTTTTTCACTTTATAATATATTTTCTTTAAAATCTGTAGTGTGGAACAGTTGAAAGATCTTGGCTGCAAGTGGGTCATTCTTGGGCATTCTGAGCGGAGACATATAATTGGAGAAAATGATGAAGTAAGGCTTTTCACAAGAACTATTGATTTATGAAACTTATGAAGAGCTAAGTTATTTGATCACAAGTGGAGCAAACTAAAGCATTTGCCAGGTCTTGATGATACTTCGCTGTGCATTGAGCTGTTCACTAAGGTCTTGACTGGGCCATTCTGTCGTGCAGTTTATCGGGAAGAAGGCTGCTTATGCTTTGAGCCAGAATGTTGGAGTTATAGCCTGTATTGGAGAGTTACTAGAGGAAAGAGAAGCAGGAAAAACTTTTGATGTATGTTTCCAGCAATTGAAGGCCTTTGCAGGTCAGGCTTTGCTAATTATGTTCTATAAAAACAAAAAATTATCATGTGGGGGCGAATTTATATTCCTTGACTTGTTTTAATAAATTTGTCCCTTATGCTAAAAGCATTACATGTGAAAGCTTTATCTTTCTTAAATTTGTTTGATTGAAATTTTCGGTGACATACAGATGCTTTGCCAAGTTGGGATAATGTTGTCATTGCATATGAGCCAGTATGGGCTATTGGAACTGGCAAAGTGGCGACACCTGAGCAGGCTCAGGAGGTGCATGCAGCTGTTCGTGATTGGCTCAGTAAGAATGTCTCAGCAGAAGTTGCTTCTGAAACACGCATAATATACGGAGGTATTCCTTGAATTTGAGTGTTGAATTCACATATAAATAACTTCTCTTCTTCCATGTTTCATTCATGAGAATATATGATTTGTTAAAATTTAAGATTGCATGTGTTGTGGTTTAGTATCATGTCAACTAGGTATTGAAAATTTCCCTCTTCCACTTGAATTATGTGGAGCCTTAGGGTGTCAGCATTTGCAGTTGTAAACTGTTCTTTTTGTTGGATTTTTATCATTTGTCCCTTTAGGATTTTTTTTTTTTTTTTTTTTTTTTTTTTGGAGTCAGCAAAGAACTTTGATGTATTGTTAAACTTGAGAAATTGTCTTCATGAACTTGTCTCTCTCTTGAAAAGGGCTATCTTTTGTGTTTCAAAATTCGATTTGTGCCTTCTTAGAGGATGACATGCCTAGATTTTTTGTGACACTGACATGTAATTGGTGTGGTTCCTAAAACTGTAACTTTTTGACAGGCTCTGCGAATGGAAGCAACTGTTCTGACCTTGCAAAGAAAGAAGATATAGATGGCTTTCTAGTAGGGGGTGCTTCCTTAAAGGTAAATCTTGTATTTGCTAAGTACATGCATCTGGCTGGTAATTTTTCTTCATTTCCTTGTCAACTGTAGCATATGGCCGATTAAGGGGAATCAGTGGAAATGATTGAAACTTGCATGAGCTATATCCTGGACGAAAATTACTAGACTTAGTGGATGAATAAGCTATTGAATTTTAGCTGAACAAGATTCTACGGCATTCCTAGAGAAAGAAAATCATATCTAGAAAATGTTGTTCCCAGTGACTATACGTTAACTACCCGTTTTCTTGGACACAACATTCTTTGGTTTTGGGTCGACCATTGCAAGCTGCGTGGAGACCCTAAGTTGGTTTGAAAAGAACTCAGCAACATGTGGAGTTTAGTTTGAAGAACCTTGATAGTCTGAGTGCAAAATCAAGAGCTTGGTGGTCGAAGGGAACTGTGGGGTGCATTGAGGAAGAGAGCCGGCTGGAGGTGAGAATTAACAGGAACAGCAGAAAGTGCATTATATGGTTTTGCTAGCCTGCTGTCAACTGTTGACTGGTCATTATGCTTAGTGAAAATGGTGGCAGGCGAAAGCTAAGACGCTTGTTTGAGAATGCAGCAAATGATCCTGGAATGTCTGGGACCCCACTGTTACTGTTATGGAGGGCATAAAGTGAAGAAGCGACCAGCTACAGGTGGTGGTTGTATCTTATTACATGGTGGTAGATAAAGAAGGTTGGGCAAAGAAACTAAACATTACAATTAGTTTGATTAACTGTGTAGTAAAGTAAACCAATACAGCTGGTCTGCGTATTTCTTTTTTATTGACACTGTCTCAAAGCAGAGCTCCTCCGTGTGAAAAGATTTGTTGAATATTTAAAAGGTGAGCTGCATTTAGAACTTCTTAGTAACCTTAATGTTCTATTTTGCAGGGTCCTGAGTTTGCCTCCATTGTTAATTCTGTGACATCCAAGAAGGTAGCTGCTTGATCATTTGTCATGGGTGGTCGTCGTGGAAAATAAATGGCTTAGAGAAGTACCAGTGGCAGAAGGATCAGATGACCAATTTAAAAGTGAGTTTTGTCATGGAATTTTGATACCTTTTCAACTCTTCATTTGTAACTTACTTCTCATCCATCACATTCAGTAACACACTGTGGTGTACCAAAATGGTGAGCTTCACAGTATAAATGTTTTTTAGATAGCGGGGTTTGGATGTGTTGGATGCTGCTTGACACTTCAGCTATACCCATTCCCTGCCCCCC